AAAATTTATTCCAATAGGGATAGTTATTTCTCACCCTTAGTCCTAGTTTGTTCTCTTCAAAGCAGTTAATTCTACACATGGATAAGTGATATCTAAATTCTGTTATAAGAATTCTAGGCAAAGATCCTTTTTCCTATCACTCTGAAAGAGGAGAACAATAGAAAGATATATAGAAAGCAGTATACAGGTTTTTACATATTTAAGCCTATATAAAGGAATGTATGATTGTGAAAAGAACAGCAAGGTTAAGGGAACTTGGCCACTATCAGTCCTACTTTCACTCTTACTTTTTCCTTCTCCAGTTAGGAGGTCAAGTTGGAATTTGCAGAGGAAAATCCATAACCAAGAGGGTGATGGAGGAACAAATATTGTAGCTAAATACTTCAATAATAATTTGACATGTAACTACCTGGGGAATGCTGATTTTCTCTGTCAGTCACAGGGCTAGAGTCTAGAAAACTAGGGTGCTTGCCCCTAGCCTTTCCTATTCAGTCTAGAACAAAAACATCAAAGTAAGGCAGAGTAGCACAAATGTAAGACCACTGGACTGGTTCTTCTCAGGAGGGGAAAAAAAAAATGAGCATAAAGCCTAGATCTCCAAGCCAAAGAAGGCAAGTAGGGGCATTATTTTAGTCCTAGCTCTTATTTACCTGGCTCTTTAAATGTCTTTGTGTATGTCCAGAAGGAGCTGAAGGAAGAAGGATGTTTTCTGCTACAGAGAAGAGAAACTGAAGGCTGCTTCTACAGGACCAGCACTAGGGGGCACCGGAGCAAAGTGTACTGAGCGTGACCTGTGAGACTGCCCAAGAGCTTCAACTCTGGAAATTAGGGGAACAGAGGAAATACCCATTGGTGAAACCCAGAGCACTATTATTTCAAATAAAGATCTAAGCCTTTTCTTCTTATAGTCTTCTCAAATACCTCATTTCACAGTATAAAATAATGTTTATTAAGTTAAATTATAACTTAAATTTAAATTTAAAATATAACTACCATTCATAATCACCCAAATGACAGAGTTCATGACAGTAGAGAAGAAAAATAAATTTTACAGAGTACTCTCTAAAATTTAACTTGATAGGATGTATATACAATTTTTGATCCAGCAATTCCATTTCTAAGAATAGGATACAAGATGAAACAGTGGAAAACAGAACAAATTTTTGAACCCAATGTCCAACACATCATTAATTTTATTAACAAAAATGTTTAAAATTAAGTATTCAAGAGAGGAGAGTGCTAAAATAAATTATGACGTAGCTACATGATGGACTACTTAAATAAACATTAAAAATATTTTCTATAAGCATTTCTTTCAAAATTTTTTTCCCAGATACTGGAGAATGAACTCAGGTCTTTGCAATGAGCAACATCTCCAGCTTTTTTATTTTTATTTTTAGACAGGGTCTTGTTAAATTGTGCAACCTAGGAATGAACTCATTATTCTCATAGCTGCTCAGAGTGTGGAAATTACTGGTATGTACCACCATGCTTTACTCCCTTCAAAACTTTAAATGAATTTATGTAAATATACTAATGACTAGAGGAAAAACAGATGGTGGCCACCTCGTCTGCTCCCTTGTCAGCTAAATGACCCATTCTTTTGTAACATTTTTCAACAAAATAAAATCGCTTCATGTAATACTTTTCAGATTGTTTCCAAATGACCAACCTTAAAACTATTAAGTACACTTAACATTTATAAATATTCCAGTATCTGTTATATAACTTTTGAATTTTTAAAAAGTTAAAAGGGTTAAAATGGAGAATTTTAGGCACATCACTATAAAAATCCTCCATACATTTTAACTGGTATTACAACCAAATTATTTAAAATCATAGTAACTTCTCATCTAAACACTCTTAGTCATACAGAATGATCAATGAAACTTAAACTACGTGGTGCAACTGTGAACTGATTTTTGTTTTGTTTTGCTATATGTAGTTCAAGCTGGCCATGAAGTTGGTTCGAGTCCTCTTGCCTCAGCCTCCTGAATGCTGGAATTATAGGCATGAGCCACTACACCCACCATGTTGTAAAATTATTTAAGTGACTTGCCTCAAGGTAATACAAACTAATGATATGGCTAGAACTACAGTCAAAAGTCAGTATTTATCATGTGAGATCCTAATAACAGATAATATGTGTATGAAGCTTACATACGTGGCTTTTAACTTTTTCAAAAGTTTGGCAATTCCTGATCTAGTAATTACTATTTAGGTCACTGTTTTACATGGAGGAATCCTGGCAATGAAAGGTTTATTTTTAATGTTTATATGTGTCTTGAGAGAATTCAGGCTTTTCAATTCTTGAATTCATCACTTGTAGAATAACCTTTATATTACAGACAACCAATACACAATAATTACTCAATATGCTTTTTATTTTAAAAAATGACCACCAAGTTCAAAGGGAGGAGAAATAACCTAAGTAAAGAATGTTATGTAGAATATAAATGCTCGGGCTAGGGATTTAGCTCAGTGGTTCTGCCGCCTGCCTCGCAAGCGCAAGGACCTGAGTTCGATCCTCAGTACCAAAACAAAACAAAACAAAAAAAAAAACAAACCCAGGAATATAAATGCTCACAAAACTACAAATGGATATCACCTAAAAGATGCTGCAGTGTTCTTTTTGGCATAAAGAAAAGTGCTGGTCAAAAAGCTACACTGCCACTGAGACAATGACAGTCATGAAATATGTACCCTGACCTATACAAAAATGAAGCTATCTTCTATTATAAGATTGTGACACAAAATTTAAACAAAAAGGAAAAGAATCTCAAGATAATTCTGCTCTGACAGGACTATAAAATAGAAAAGAAATATATTCAAGAACAGGAAATCTCACTCTAAATATGAAATATAGTAAAAGGAGAAGATTTAAAGTAGGTTTAAAGAAAGATTTGATAATTATACTAAGGTTTTAGAAAAGAATTTAATTAAATTTTATTAAATGAAATTATTAATATTTAGGCAAAATAGAAATAACTCAGAGAATCAAAAT